TAGATACCGGCCGATCAAGGCGGTCTTCACGTGTGAGCTTCATGGACACGATCAACAAGCCTCTGACTGTCTTGGCTGAGTCAGGGGTACCGACACTGAGAGTGCCTGCTGCCTCAACCTCGAGGCAATCTCTTCCTAGCCCAGGTGAAGGCGGCGAATCTGCACCACTCCTAAATAACCTTTGGCGAGAGTCATTGAACAACTCTCCAACTCATCCTGGCATGGGTCAGCATGCATTTTCCTCCGAATCTGCTGTCACAATATCCAGCGTTAGTGGGATTGTATCTGAGCCAGCGACACACCCTTCTACACCTTTAGCGGCTTATCAAGATGGCCATCCTCCCACTATTCACATGCCATCCGAAACACCAGTGACACCACGTCCCCGTGGCTCTACTTCGAGGCCCCAGTCCCATCACTTCAGTGAGCCGCTTTTCTCGCCTTCTCCCTTATCTTCGACAGTTGCTGGACTGGTCTCCGATGCCCTCCTTAAGCACATGGACAGCCCATTGGCTCGAAGACTACCGTCCCGTCGGAGTAGGCCAAGCCTCAGGGCAAGTCTCTTCGTGCCGCAGGACGAAGTGGAAGATGACGAGGCTGGACCCGAGTCATCAGTCGCTCGCGAGGGGTACGTCAGCGACGCACCTACCGACGGCGAGGAGGACCAATCCGAGGATAGGAAAAGGACGCTTAGAGGCCGTGCTCGCAGTCTCAGCAACACTCTGAGCGACCTCTTTGGCGTCAGGAAGAAGCGGCGCAGCTCGAACCCGGATGAGAGCGAGCCGCTCAATCCCGAGAATGTGGCAGGCAGCCAAAGAGATGCTGCCTTTAGCACGGAGACTCTATGACGGAGAAGAAAGGATATTGTTTCAAGAGTGATATGCCAAAAAAGAAGGATTTGACCGTAACCGGTGGTCGAGAACAGCATCATTGCATTTGCAGGGAGTTATGCCTTCATTTGATAGGCTTGCCAGAGAGCGCCTCCTTTCGTTTTGTTTATACCCCAGGGAATCCCCTCTGTTAATATATAGACCTACAAATAATGCTACGTATTTATCCTTTCATGAATCTATTAGCTATGAAGTAGTCATGCATGTTGGCATTGTGCTTGGCCAGGATGATCAGATATTGGTTTATATCCAATGTAGAGGATATAGATGAAATCTACAAAAGGGACAATGCAAAAAAAGAGGTTGATTAGAAACAATACGAGAAAGGAAAATAATGTGGAAAGGGACAAAAAAGAAAAAAAAAAATAA